TTTTTATTTTAGTAAGTTAATAGTATAATGCGTCAAGCGTGTCTTTGCATTGTTCTTACATATGCGTACAGTATTGAAATATGTATCAGAGACATTGTAGAACATACTTTTTTAAAAGAGTAACGAATGGAGTTTCTTGCTCGTTCTTCTCCATTCGAATCTACGTTTTGGAATGAGCACCTAGCTTCACCTAGCTTCACTGACGGACTGACTGACAGACTATTATTTATTTTGTATTTGTTGACGTTTCAAAAGTACCAAACTATGGTTTAATTGAAATAAATGCTTTGCGTTTGCGTTTGCGTTTGCGTTTTTAAGAGGGGAAAATCATCGAATGACTGGTCCCGCCTGGGTGAGGCAGGAGGGAGTGTCAGGCTCTTAGGCTAGGCTGGGTTGTACCAACTTACTTTGACAATGACAAACGTCAAAATTATAATAATTAAAGTTACATGATAACTCATAGAATCTAACTAACCCACTAATATGATAAGACCTAAGTGCGAATGCGTTCGAAGTTGGAACAATATTGTTTTCTTATCTTCAAGTATGAAGGTTTTATTGAGGTTAAACCTAGTGGGGTGATCGATGATGTAGCGATTCGTAGCTGGGCACAAGGCGGCGACAAGAGGAGACGGCTCAGCAGTTCGAATGTCGCAATACTCCGTAGAGCCTTCGTTGTATCAAAGTAGGTGTAATGTCCTGATTCAGCAGATATGTACATGTTTCGGCACCGATACGTAACATGCTTCCAATATTTTTGTATTGTTTCCAAAGCGTGAGCATTTATTTCTTGATTCCCTCTTCCCTCTAAAGAAAGAAAGAAAGAAAAATAATTTACTTATTCTAGTATTACTTACTCTAGTACTTTCCATCATCGTACCACAGGTATATCGCCGTTACCGATTCATGGTAGATGTCCACCCACACGCACGAAGCGCTTCGCAGCAAGCTTCCTTGTGCGTACTGCTACGGAGTGAAATTCTTGGCTATTCTGTATTTCCTGAAGGGTGAATAACCTGGGTGTCTTCCAGGCCCGAGTGAATAGGGTGCTTATGGGCAGACGTGCTCTAACTTAGGCCGCATCATCGCTAACCACCAGACGAGATAGTGGTGAAACGTCGGCACAAAAATATTAAAAATCATTCATATTTTTGTAACCCTATAATTTTATGAACTGTATTATAATATCGCAGTTTTCTTCAGACAGTTACTCATGTCCCTGGGACGCGCCGGACTTCAATGTTCCGGTGTTTTTATGGTTGTATCTACTGTAGACTGACTTACAGGAGTTGCAGCGGTTTTGGGAAGTTGTGGCGGGCTTGTCCCATTAAAAAAAAAGTGAAAGAAGGAGCAAAAAGGAACTAATATTATAGTTTTAATGGATAGGTAATGCTCAAATATCTGAAATACAACCGAGAAGAAAAATCATAAACATTATTGAGATTTATATACCTAATTGCAGCGGTTTTGGGAGGTTGCGACGGCCTTGTCCCAAATAAAAAAAAAAAATATATACAACTTAAAATATAAATAACTATGAACTAAAATATTTACACCTTAAAAAAAAGGTAATAATAAATAAATAAGCTATAATAAGGCATCAAAAAAAAAATTTTCCTCATCATTATCGTGAGGTAGGGTGCCCAAAAGACTGGCAGCATTACCACGTTGAATGGCAATGCTTAACCTTTGTCCAAGGTAGAAGCCAGCCCTTCGATCACCTGAAGTGTCAACCATCCTCTTTACAATATCTTTGTAAAGAAGATGTGCACTTGGGCCCCACGGCCCTAAAGTTTCAACCCCAAACGGTTCGAAAGCATAATTGCCAATCAGGCTATCATACTTTCGCCGTTTGAGGTTCTCGGCAGCAGCAGCGGCAGCACCGGCTCGACACGCTGAGTTTGGAAGATGGGATGGCGCCAGAGTATCAACGCAAGTGGCGTCCCATACTAAAGGCCTACCCATCTTCCAAGGGAATAATGACATACCGTCGGGTCTCTTGCCATCGTTGCGTACCAAGCCATTAGGTTCTAAAGTAGCTGGCACGCCAACGGAGACAAGAGCTCGACGAATTATGTCATTAATACTCGCGTGTCGAGCAAAACGACCCGCACTACGGCTACACGACAAGCCGTGGTGTCCAAGGCTGTTGACATCTTCACCACAACGACAACGATGAGGTGAACAAAATGAAGCCCCAAGCCTTAAACAAATTGCAGCGCGGAATGTGGTGTCGTCCAACAAAGTACCTAAGTTGGACGAAGGCAAAGCAAGAAGCCATAACCCTGACTCCCACTCACCCACAGCCAAAAGGCGAGCTCGCTCTGCAGTTGAACAAGCGGAGTTCAATAGATTTTCGTTCACTTTCCTGCAGAGCGGCTCGTCCCATTGTCTCTGGGAGAGTGATTTGACGGGGGGGTCAATATTTGGGCAAGCGATTTTCCAAGCTTTCACAGCTTCCACTAAAAATGGTACATCAAAATTAACCAGTGATTGAGAAAGAATTTTCCTGGTTAATTCTTCAGTACCATGGGCGGAAGATATGAAAGCTGGTAGGCTTACACTGGAAATTTTACGGACGCCAAGCCCACCCATGCGGACAGGCAGAGTAGCTTGTGTCCAGGCTCGGTCGTCGAGAGCCACATTCAAAATTAAGGATAAAGTTTGTCTAATGCTTCGGTCAATTTTTTCTAAAAGAAGGGGTGCAGACCAGAGGTGGGTCGAGCGCAAAAAATACATAAATTTGGGACCAAAACAACAAAAACGAATAATAGTATAGGCCGAATGCATTCTAATGTGATACAGTCTTTCTGAAACGACAGAAAAATTTTGAATTTTTTCATCAATAAAACTTTGAAAAGAGTCCTCGAAGACGGGCGCACCTAGGAGGCGAAGCGAACATTTATCGACAACCGAGATATTAGGCGCAAAAGTAGTAAATTTTGATATGATCTGTCTGTCGGTAGAGTCATGTAAAAATATCTCACACTTGGAATAATTTAGGTCAAGGCCAATAGCATGAAGTTCGTTTTTTAAAAATTGGAAATCATTTAAAACTGTATCTGCATCGCCTCCCAGGGTACCGTCATCGAGGTACCACACATTAAATTTAGAATTTAGCTGTCGTATAATAGGATTAATGGCCAGGCTAAAAATCACTGGCCCAAGGGGATCGCCTTGTTGACAGCCAACGGCTGATTCCAAAAGGTTGTCCTGATATAATAATTTTGTAGGGTGTCTATAACATTGCCAGAGAAAACTAAAAATTTGGGGTACTTCCTTTTTAACTTCTGTCAACAGAGTATCCCTATTGACCGAATTAAAAGCATTCTTAATGTCAACCTTCAGGATGATATCACCTTTCCTGGAATTCAGGTAGGTCGACAACGCATGCACGGCAGCCTCGCAGCCCCCTCTAGATCCATACCCGAGTTGAAGGGGCTGGAATTTTTCCGAAAGAAGATTATTATAAAATTTGCAACAAATCTTGGCTGCCATGCGACGATAAGTTGTTCCCACGGCAATGGGACGAATACCGCCATCCTTCTTGCGTAGGGCACATAGATTGGCCCCGTACAAAACGTCGATGACGGATTCGTGCACATTGCCGGAGAGCATAAGATTGATCAAAACCGTAAGCTCCTTCAGCAGCGTCACGCCGGACTCCCCGGCGCTTGAGCTCGTCAGATCTTTGAGATGCTGCGGCGTCAAACCGTCGAGGCCTCCGGCAGAACCGCTCCGGAAGGAGTCTATGGCAGTGACCACTTGTCGACCTGTAACAGATAGGGTATGAATATCTGCTTCTGGAGGATCCGGAAAAGAGAGACCATCTACTGGGGCCGGGTGTTTGCTCTCCAGAGCTTTAAGTGTATCTGGAGAACATGGAGCCAGTACGTCATTGCTAAAAATATTAATTATATAATATAATTATATAAAGCGGAAGAGTTTGTTTTTTTGTTTGTCTGTTTGAACGCGCTAATCTTCGGAACTACAAGTCTGATTTGAATGATTATTTTTGTGTTGGATAGCGCATTTATCGAAGATGGCTATAGGCTATAAAACATCATTCTACGACCAAAAGGAGGTGAGCAGAGCGTGTGAAACCGCGCGGAAGTAGCTAGTTACGGATAAAATTAAACACAGAAGTACATTCCACAAAATTTTATTTAAAAAGCAATATGCCACAAATATTTTTGCGAAACCCATTCTATTAGGTGACATCATGATCACAATTACACATGTCGGTAACTAGTTTAGAGAAATACATTTTGAGTAAATAACTTTACGTCTACAAAATATGCAAAAACACCGTGAATTTATTTACATAATTAAAAAGTTGCGCAAATCAATCAAAGGTTAGTAAGTAAGCAAAAACATTAACAAAAATATCCGCGTAAGAAGCGACACCACATTAATTTTAAATATTATACAAATACAATAAAATTTAATTTTGTAACGATAACATCGCTACATAAGAAAAAAAGAAAAAAAAAAACGTTACAATTTATACAAATCAAAATGTTACAATGACCCCAAAGATTTTGAATTTAATGAATGGTTACTGAAATGCAAAAATTTTCTACATTTTACAATTTAAACGCTAACACACACACACAAGTACAGTTCAAGTACGGTTTTAAGAGAAACCAGAGGTTCTTATCGAAGGAATTCAAAGAAATTTGAACTTTAGCACAAATACACAGGACAGTTATTTTATTGCTATAGCGAACACTGTCGCAGCCTGCTAAGAACCTGTGGCTTGTCTAGTCATAATATTGTAATAGGAATCATGACTGATATTAAAAATGTATTTAGTCCGTCAGTTAGGTACTGAAAAAATATTAGACACGTATTTTTTTAAATTGTCATGTAAGAAAACAATACTTAGATAAATAGAATCAAAGTTTAGGTAACTACGTAATATCTAAGTATAAAACGTACCTAGGAGTGACGTCACGCGACATTTCAAATCAATATATCATCGAAAGTATTTGTTTCCGTAAGAAAATAAAAAATACGTGTCTAATGTTTTAAAACAGTCTACCAGGCGGACATAAAAATAAAAATTAGTCATCTACGCTATTGTAATGAGGCCGTGGTCGAGCTTATGTAGTCACATAATTGTCTATGAATAAAAAAAATAAAGAATGGATGTAATATTTGCTATCTGTCTCGGGATAGAGTGTGGAGTGCGTGTGTGTGTGGGAGGTCCGTGAGAGTGTCCGACCGTCACTTGAGCGCGCACTCCACGAACACTGCGCGGCACGGTGACGCGGCTCGGCTGGCCGGGCGACTGGTACCCAGGGCCGGGGACTCCACAACACGACCCGCCGCGAACTGAGACGCGCTCAGCGGCCGCAACTCCTTCAGAATGCACCTGTAAAATAAAATATTTTTTGTTAACTCGTACTAGACATTATAATTGTATGATTTGTTAGTTTTAATTCTATTCTCCACTTGTAATTATTTTTCCCTTTTTTGTTTGAATTAAATTATTCATTTTGTCTTGGATACGCAATTTATCGAGGAACATTATCCTTACTAATATTATAAATCGGAAAGTGAGTTTGTTTGTTTGTTCCGCTTTCACGTCGTAACTACTAAACCGATTGCTTTGAATTTTTGCAGACGTAAAGTTAGAAGTCTGGATTAAATAATAGGGTACTTTTTATCCCGGAAAAAAATGATATTCTCGAGCGAAAATGAAATTATTGGTATAGATGGCGCTGTGTGTATTGGTATATGTCACATAGGATACTTTTTGTGACGCGAGCGAAGCCGCGGGTAAAAGCTAGTAGGCTATAAAATATCACGCTACGGTTAATAGGAGCTGAGCAACGAGCGAATACGCGTGGGAGCAGTAATGTATAAAACTTACGCAAGTCTAGCATCGACGACAGGCCGCACGGTGGGTACGGGGAACCCGTTGAAAGGAGAGGCGACGGGCAGAGTGTAGGCGCCCATGTCGCGGAATATGAGCCAGTCGCCGATGGCCAGGCTGGGCAGGCGAGTCGCGGGCAGCACGCAGTCCAGTCCGTCACACGTCGGGCCCCAAACTGAACACGGAGCCGGCACCGAGCCGTTGTCCTGCGAAACAAGTACAATTAAATGAAAAAACTACGTCAAAATCAACAAACATGCTTTTCGAAGCTAGTTAAAAATGGAAAAAGCCTTTAAACTGTCAAACATCAAGCGGTCACCGGTGACCGCAACCTATTGTTCTATAATTGTGTCTACAAAACCGGTACTCGACGAGTTAAGACATCAATCATAATACTATACTACATATACTTCATTTTAATTTCATTAATACATTAAAACAGATTTCCATATGGGCCTCATGGGAAACCGCCGTTGTATTAGGTTATTCCTTTAGTATTATGGGTGTCCATAAGTGATCCGTCTTCTCGTTCCATCCCGCAGCCGGCCTATGTGACAATGGATTATTTAGATAATGACGATAAGTACGCTTACATTGAGTGGTTCGGCCACTACGTGTTGGTGGTCGTAGAGCACGCAGTTGAAGGAGCCGTACACGCCGTCGTTGATGAAGTACATCGTGTGGGTCTCATCCGCGCACTCCTTCGACGTCACCTGCGGACAAACCATAAACTTACAGCATTCATTCTATAATGACATCAACGGCCATTTTCTATAACCTCTCTGCCTGTAGATTTGCTTACTGAGATAGAATTACGATAGAAAAACGGCCGTAAGTCTTTTATTCAGGAAGAGTCAACGTGCCAACTAGTCAAATTCAATACTTCTTTCGACCTGTCAAAAACGACAGTTCTCTATGACTTTTGTACGAGATTGTGTATTGTGACGTCACGTTTTTTTAAGCGTCAAACAGCATAGGTACTTATTTCGTACAAAATTGCTGGAAATATACTAAAATTAAGTTGGTCATAAAATCAATAAATGAAAGTGTAATTATTTTTTATACTTTATTGTATAGTAACAGTCGAAATAATTTATTCTTGATTTAGGGCAAGTACCCAAAATTGGTAAAGGTCTATTTTTAGCAGTGGACATCTTATAGCCGATGATGATGAATGTAATTACCTCTCGTTTAGCGTGCACCATGGCGGCGAGGGTGTAGGCGGCGGCGGCGAAGTACCGGCCCGGCTCCGCGATCACTCGCACCGACCGGTCGGGGAAGTGCTCCTCCAGAGCACTGTTTATCACTGCAGACACCTGTTACAAAACAAAAATATTTTAATAATATTATCACTTTTTACGACTGATTCGTTGCTACTACTGTGAATGTAAAATACCCAGTAATATTTTGCCCGATCTGGGAATCAAACATAACAGTCTTTATTTACCGTAGTCTGTTAAAGCTTTTATTGGATTTTAAAAACAATTTCAAAAATCTTACCTCCTGGATAGAGGTGTGGGTCCCTCCAGGGAATCCTCCTCCGATGTCCAGTATGCGCATGGCCTTGTGTCCGACGTTGTGCCCGACCAGGAACAGAGCCCGCGACAGTGCGATGGCTCGCGCGTACACATCTGTCTCGGAAGCGCCGCTACCCACGTGGAATGACACGCCGATCACCTGTATTAAAAATATATATTTTAAATATTTTAAAGAGATACTTTATATATTCACGACAAGCTTTGACAATATTTGGATGGTATAAAAAACAAAAAAAAAATCCAAATATTTGGATGGGGACATACAGTATTTTGGTCACCAGCGGGGTTATTATGACGTCCTAGAGTCAGAATGGTTCCATTGAGGGAAGAAACAGAACTACACAAGTCGTCTTTATTTTAAGGGGGGAAAGTCATCGAATGACTGCTCCCGCCTGGGTGAGGCGGGAGGGAGTGTCAGACTCTTACTGACTAAAAACCACCCCGTTCCTTCTCCTGCACGTCGAGCCGGAGCCCCGATTACTCGTTAGGTTCTCCGCGACACACAAGTCGTCTAGCGAGATCTCGTTCCCTCAACGAAACCATTCTGGCTTTCACAGACATTAAGGAAACAACACCTTGACTTGTATTTAAAATTTTAATTTGACATTTTGAAATCTGTATGTTGTCATTACTGAATAATCATCTAAATTAAATTGCATTAAATTAACATTCGCATGCCTGGAAAAGGTGGAATACATTGTACTATAAACATTAGACTAAGATCCATTATTTATATTTCTTTAAGACGTCATAATACGCCGCCTGATGCGCTAATGTAGCTAGAGAGCTTTTTATCCAACCCCCGCAGCTGTCAAATATTGAACATCACATAGTGTGACATTAGGTAATTCCCTATTGGACGAAAAACGAAAGGTTTACACTAGCACTATCAGAAGGCTCGGTACGAGTTTGTTTTACGTTTAAAGTAATCGAAACGATACCGCGATCGGCGCTCTGATTGGCCAGCTCCAATGAACCAACCAATCAGAACGTCGAATGTGGTCTCGTGAATTGTAAAGTGGGAGTAGTGGTGGTGTGTGATGGAGTAAGAGTTTAAGTGGGAATGTACATAAATTGAAAACTGGGTGTTATATTGTACAGTGGCATTAAATGCCATAATGTGCACCTCTGCCTACCCCTTCGGGGATAAAAGGCGTGATGTTATGTTATTTTATTTATGCTGCATCGTGGTTGGTGCAGAATAAATGTTTATATTTCTTTCTTCTTGTAAAAAACATAGTACTTACGTCAAGACCGAAGACAGCGGCCAGTTTGAGGAGTCGAGGAGCCTCAGTGACGGGGTCGCAACCGAACTTGATGCCCAACGGACATTGAGCTGATGCAGCGTCGCAGCGGATGCGGATCACGAGCCTAGAGTCAAAAATATGTCATAAAGTGATGGTATTCTTGTAAAATGTCCTTTAGTCCGTTAGATATTGAGTGTACAATAGGGTAGACGAATAATTTTTATTTTAATGTCCGTCTGGTAGATTATTTAAAAAACATTTGAAACATATTTTTTATTTTATTACGGAAACGAATAGTTTCGAAGATACATTGATTTGAAATGTCAAGTGACGTCACTTCTATGTACATTTTAAACTAAGAAATGACGTTTTAGCTCCAACTCCTAAACTTTGATTCGTTTTATCTAAGTATTGTTTTATCATACGACAAAATAAAAAATACGTGTCTAATATTTTTTAATTACCTAACTTATGGACTAATTACATTTTTAATTTTCATACCCTGTTATCATCCCCATTGTTTAACATCTTTTTTGTATTATAGTCATAATAATAATAATGATGACGTTTTTAATTTCGATTTAAAATTTCATTCCAACAAATCACTAAAGCTATGATTTAATGTGTACTCGACAAAGAATTATGACTTATCGTGTCATTCACTTCCAAACGCAATAAGGTCGACATTTGCGTAAACTAAACATACAATCGATAGTACCGATAACGGCTACAATCTTTGTGTACCTATTTTAACGATTTATTGTAATGACTTCAAATGACAACCTACTCCAATCTATAGATTCCACTGAATATTCGACTTTATAATCAAAACAGTAAAATTCTAAATCAAATAAAGAAATTCGACAGAGAAGAGAAGGTTGGCCTGCTAGAGTCTATGGTGTTCATAAAATAAAGAAATAAAAAATATTTTTAATCTTAAACAGTTTTAATGAGATCTATTCTACCACTCAAGCTGTTGACTTCTATAGTTGTACGAAGAAATGATAAGATTTTGTAGGAATTTATGAAATAAAGAATATTTGCAGCGCGATTGTTATAGTTTAATTAGCAAAATTAAGTTTTACAATTGTTCACAAGATGAGTAACAAAAGGGGACAAGACCGCCATCTATAGCTGTCAAAAATACAGGAACTAATATGGTTGCGTTGCATTTTTCCACTTTTCACTATTTATGTTATGAGCCCCATGAAATAGGGGGTGAGCCTATTGCCATATACCGGGCACATTTCCAGACTGCGTGCTACTACTGAGATTAAAAAAAAACTCAATAATACTTTGCCCGACCCGGGAATCGAACCCGAAACTCCTTGCCCGGCAGTCGCACTTGCGACGACTCGGCCATCGAGGCAGTCAAGTTAAATAAAACAATTTAAAAAGATAAGTAATAAATAGTTTGAATACTTACTGTGCGTGAGGCATATATTGTTTGATCTTCATGAGCTCGGTCTCCGAGTCGAAAGTCATCACGTCGACGCCGACGGCGGACGCGAAACGGATGTGAGACGCCATCTTAGCCGGGTTCGCGAATATAATGCGGCTGGAACAAATTATTATATTATTAATCTGCAATATATAGTAGTTGAATTAGAAGTCTACTCAGGAAAAACGTTCACCTAACCCATTTAAATAATCATTGAAACGATGAATCTTTACAGTTTTTACACGGAGCTCGCTATTTTTTTTTAAAGCATAAGCCGGTAGACGAGCTAACGGATCACCTGATGGTAAGCAATCGGCCCGGCCATGGACACCCGAAACACCAAGGCGTTACAAGTGCGTTACCGGCCTTGTGGGAATTGGGAATTTGAGGATTGTGAAGGATTCGGGGATTCGGGAGACTAGGGACCCGGGGGGGTTTGATTGACCCTCCTGTAACCTCACTGCTCTTGCTATGTGTCAATCCGGTACTGGGAAATATTTTAAGACGTATCCCCGATTAATGTAATTATTAATTAAAATGTCATTATGTATATCAATAAATAAAATACTTACTCAGGCGCTACTCCAATGGAGGTGACGAGTTCAATCTCGGCTTTGGACGCGCAGTCGAATCCAGTACCGAGAGCAGCCAGCGTGCTCACTAGGAGCTTGTCGTCGTTGCATTTCACCGCTAAAACGAAATATAATTAATTAAGCTTAAGAATGACTGATATCATATCTTAGAAAAGAGGTAAAAATACATAATGAATGAGTATTCATTGTACATCACTACATAGTATAAAACAAAGTCGCTATCCGCCGTCTGTCTGTCCCTATGTATGCTTAGATCTTTAAAACTACGCAACGGATTTTGATGCGGTTTTTTTAAATAGATGGAGTGATTCTTATGGAAGTTTTATAAATATAATATATGTATATTGTAGTATATTGTACCCGTGCGAAGCCGGGGCGGGTCGCTAGTTATGTATAAAAAGTAAACAGATAGAATAGAGGGACATATTTAACAGTGCCTAGTTACAATAACCATGAATAAATTCTCACCATAGAAAGGCTCGACGCGCGGCATGAGTTCCTTCCAGCGGTGGTACCTGGCCACCACCTCGCCGAGGTCCATCACGTAGAAGGGATCCTCCTGGGTGCCAGACTCCACGATCTCACGGATCAGGTCGGTCGTAGACCAAGGCCCGTCCATCACAGTAATAAGCTGTTCTTCTTCCACGACCTTCATTTTGGCTGGGATTTTGATCCGTATGCGGTTTACTTTAAGGTTGACTTTGGAGCCGACTTAGCCCCGGCAGTGCCGGAGCGTGGGGTCGGCTATGCTTTGCTTGCCGTTCCGGGCCGGAGGGGTCGGTGTCAGGTGTTCGAGCCGGGTTGTGGTGGCCCACTAGCGCTAGTCCACAAGTGTCAGCTGCAACAATACAGACATGTTCTAATACTGCACTCAACTAACAAGAAAGCTTTCATTCAGTGACTATTAGGTACCTGACGCAAAAAATATAGTTCTCAATTACTCTGTGTAATAGGGATATTTTTAGCTCCCTATGTCAAGTTAATATAAATGCAAGTAGTATTAGTAATTTGTTTTATAATAACTATAGTGAGACATACCAAGTTAAATAAAAATCGCAGGTTACTCACGTGAATATACTGAGAACAGCTCTAGTAGCTTCGAACCACAGAGGGGTTCTTTAGTATTTTCACGTGAGTTTTCACCCGCGATTTTTAGTTAATTTGGTATTAATAATAATTTTTTGAGTCCAATATCGTAATTATCTATGTATTTTAACTTTGTAATTTCTCACATTAGCTAGAACAATACGGAAACTACGACGTATACCTAAGTTTAAAAGTACCAGGTGCTCATGAAATAGGAAGAGATTACTCACGTAATGTCTAGGTGGCGTCAGCGGGCCCGGGCTCGCAGCCAGGGCGGGTCGACGTTGAGGGCACGGCGCCAGCAGCGCGGCGCGGGGCGCGGGCGCGCGGCCTGATGCGGCCTGCTTAGCCGCTTACGCCCGGCACAGGTAGACGCGCCGGACTCGCCCGGTGCTCCCTGGAACAAAATAAATTAATTTTAAAGCATAATTTATCAATTAAGCATAACAAATACGAATCTTTTTTCAGAATCCCAATAAAGGATGAGGTTACTGTGGTCGCATCTGCGATCGTTCAATTAATGTATCAATATCAATCAATCAGTCGGTAAAATTATGTCAAATAAGATAATAAAAAAATATTAAAATTGCATTCTAGTCGTTTTGAGATTGAATTTAAAAAAAAAGAAGATAAATCTTAGACGAGTTTTTAATCAAACGCAAATGTGATGATAATGTTGCCAGAGCAAATTTATTCTATGGCAGTGAGGCGGGAGGGAGTGTCAGACTCTTACTGACTAAACAACCCCGTTCCTTCTCCTGTGCTTCGAGCCGGAGCCCCGGTAACCCGTTAGGTTCTCCGCGACAACATCAGACGATTAGAATAATTAATATTTTATCGAAACAGTGGAGATTTACAACGCAGTATTTAGCCGCGACGACATAAAAATTACAAAACTTTTAAGTTATCAGAAAAACATTAATATTAAATACGCAAATAGTGTAACAGATCTCGTAACTAGATAAACAGCTTATTGCCTGTTCATTATACAGAAATAACTATAATCCTAGTTGATAAAACATTTTTATATCGATGTTATTACCTTTATACGATCTTTAGGTATATTAAAACTTCGCGATACATATTAATTCTGATTATGTTTTCGGCTGACTGACGTAACGGTTTGACGAGGAACTCTTCGTACTTCGTACTTCTACGTACGGGAGTTTGCAGTTAGTTAATCACAGGCCGCGCTCGGCAGGTGATTGGATATCACACTTATATAGAAAGGTTCAAGATTATGAAGATTATTATTATAATCTTGTGTGTGCTCTCTACTGAGAGCACAAATATGTAGTCCCTTAACAGTCTTTTATGACACCCACGGAAAGAGCTAGGGTAGTTACAAACCTATTCTAGTTAGGCCTTACTCCTTACCACACAACTTCCCTATTGCGTAGATAAAACTATCGATAGTCTTAAATGTAGGTACTAAAATTAACACGTTCTACTCAATTGTATGAACCGTTTCCGACTCGCAGTTTGGACTGAGATGAGCCTTGAATAAAGTGAATTGATAAAAATTGATAACATTTAAACTGCTGATGGAGATAAGGCGGCTGGCGACAGTTATCGGCTAATTTTAATGGCGAACGATGACATAATCAGAGCGAAATAGATTTCTGTGAAAATGTAACTAACTCTGCCGTGTAGTAAGAAGCAAGACCACTTTTATTCATGCCCTCATGGCATGTTATAAATGCCCAGTAGATGATGATGATGTAGATGCGAACGGGAGCCGCGGACATCTTACAGCGTTACCAGGGCTCCAGCTCGAAGCAAGAGTAGGAACGGGGTGGGTTTTAGTCAGTAAGTGTCCTCATTCAAGGCGTGAGAAGTCATTGGAGGAATTTATCCCCCCAAAAATGGCAATCTACGTTTAACAGAGACCGGACAGTAACGATTTGATAATAAACCTGAATGTTTTTATAATAACTATCGTGAGACATACTGAATTAACTAAAATCAGGGGTTACTCACGTGAATATACTGAGAAAAGCTGTACTAGAGAAAAGCAAGTAGCAACACCGAGGCGAGCGCCAACGCCAGCTGCGCGACGTCGTCGCCGCGACCGCGCACGCTGCTCATGCGGAAGAACCCCTCTGTGGTTCGAAACTAGTAGAGCTTTTCTCAGTATATTCACATGAGTAACCCGCGATTTTAGTTAATTTAATAAACCTGAACTTTATAAACATAGTAAACTAGCCTAGCGAGCCTAAACCTAGCGAGGACATTGTGAATAACCCTTTTTATGGAGAAGAGGCACATAGTCTTGCAGTAGAATGTCATATTTAGAATACAAATAACTTCATAATCAACAAAGATACGTAAGCTAAAAAGAAGTCGAATTAAAAATATCAAGAGGAAAACTGAGGAGGTATGTACTGGTAAAGTTATAAATATTTTTCTTAATGTAAGAGGTTGTTTATGAAAAAGTTTCAATGGTTTCAAAGTCATCAATGGGTAAGTAAAACGTTTTTGCACTATAAATACTTCGGTGTACGTAACGTGTTATTATTGGAGGGTGACCCGAGTAAGGGTTGTCAGTGCAAAAAAACGAATTGTTTTATGGCTAAAATTAAAAGCTTTCATTGAAAATACCTGGATTAAGTTTTCTGAAAGAAGTAAAGAACTAAAGTCAAAATCGATTAATGTATTTTTATAGGGTAGGCCGGTAAACGAGCAGGTCACCTGATGGCAAGCAATCGGCGTCGCCCATGGATACCAAAGGCGTTAGGTTAGAAATGTGTTACCGAAGTGCGTATCTAGAAGTTTGGTTATGACATGACCCGTACCTATTAATAATTATTAACACGGTTAATAATTAAAGTCAAAATCAAAGTTTTGAGGTTTTGTCTAACCTATATTATGTCGCATAAGTTAGACAAATAATTATTTGGTTTCAGATGAACAATGTGACTTCTATATACTTGTCATCGGGTTCAATTAATTAATTATATTCGAGTCGCAAATCCTTTGATTGGATTTTAGTGTTACATTGTTCTCGCACAATTCAAACAGCAAACTATGTAACTAGTGAATTATATTGAAAAAGAGTAACCTATGGAGTTTCCTGCTCGTTCTTCTCCATAGGGATCTACACCTTGGAATGAGCAAATAGCTTCACTTTTGTTTTTTTATTGACGCTCAAAAGTGCCCGTATGGTCTAATTTGAATAAATGTTTTTTGACTATAACTTTGACTGCTAACCATAACATTTAGGACTCGGTTTCATATATCCATATATTCTACAGATTTATAAAAAATCAGTAGGTACGTAATTAAGAGAACCGGCGTAATGTCAAAAATCAATACAAGCAACATCGTCAAAACACCATATTTAATGCATCAGTAAATTACGTTAGAAAGCCGTTGTTTCGTAATTACAGTTTCTGAAACATAATTTGCGACTAAGTGCTTCCCTTTACCGTACCTAACCATTTTCATTGAAACCTTTATGCATTATTTCTACAGTAATTCTTACCAATCAAATAGTTTTTAGTTTTAAATGTATGGACATACATACATACGTCGGTTTCTACAGTCATATTGTTTAACTTTGTTCAATTTTACACTTGCCATTTTTGGCTTTTCGTTGATTATGGGACTAGAAAGAATATCGAAACGTTTGGCAAAGACATGTCAATAGAATAATTTATTTGCAATTATTAATAAAATTAATAGAAAAAGGACATCAATCAATGAAACCCTATTGGTTTGTAGTTCTTTTAAGGATGAATGATATTATTCCATGAACTTTGATTTATTTAAGTTACCAAAAAAAAAAAATATGGATGAGCTCTATGAATGAGAAAACATATAACTAAGTGCTAAAATGGAAATTATTATTACACAATATTTGTTACATTTAGTTAAAATTCTAGTTTAAAAAATATTACATCACATTGAACTTATCGCTATATAAAGATTTTACTACAATCAATCGACGATGGGTCGCGTGCAAAAGTACTATAGGTAGGTAATAATCACAAGTTTCATAATAATTACCTACCTAAATACTATAGTATCAATAATCAATAGTAATCTAATAATAAATTAATCGTAAAATTATCGCCAGACTTCCACACAGCGACAGACTTTAATAATAATAATCTCTACACTTCCTGCAGCCAAACGTAATCACTAAAAATGGTGCAATTTTAATTCTATTTTTAATCTGTATGAATTCGATGACAGCTAGGTGACGTAACATTGTCAGATCTACGTCACAGAACACACCTTTCAGACGTTTTTGAACACGTTAACTGTGCATGCATGCATTGTAATTAGACATACGGCCGAATTTTACAATCATCATTTTTGACATAGGTACGGCCGATTTTTCAATCATCATTTAATTCTTAACTGTAGAATAAAATTTTCATATTTAACAGTTTTTAGCATGGAAGAATTGTCAAATATTTAAAGTTCGTCCTTAGTTAAATCTGGCGTTGGAAAAATCGGCCCTTAGACTATCTTCTCTTGGCCTTAGGCTTATCCAGAGTCGCGGAGAACCTAACGGGTAACCGGGGCTTCGGCTCCACGTGCAGGAGAAGGAGCGGGGTGGTTTTTAGTCAGTAAGAGGCTGACACTACCTCCCGCCTCACCCAGGCTCCCGCCTGGTGACAGTGACGCAGACATTCGATGATTTTCCCCCTTAAAAAAAAGGCTTATCCAGAGTAATTTTGGATTGGACTGTATGTAATCCACCCTTCGCAACCCGCCAGAAGGAATTTCTGACAGATACAATCTAAAAATACCTGAATATAGGTTTTAAAGAAACAAAAGGATTGGTCCTAATTCAAAAATGTTGGATAGAAACTGATTATTAATTTTGTCCGTAGGAGGCCTAAAATTTATTAATGGTTAGACATATTATGAGATGTCAGTTGATTTTATATAGGCTTCGCTTCAGAATAAAAATACACATTTGGATGAGTTTTTATTATATGTAATAGTACTCAAGTAATAAGTATTATTTGATTTTAAAAACTGATCTCCTAATGGACGTTCTTCTAGCAATATTCAATATTTTGCACGTGACCTTTCAAACTTCATTGAAATACCCACTGCACTAAGTAGGTAGTAGTTTCACATCAACAGCCTATAAGTGGCAAATGCTGACTCAAAGGATGTTATTAATAATAATATAATTTAAATTAATTTTCCTATTAAGTTTTTCCGTCATACCGAATTAACGTAAATTGAGGGAAAATTTTATCACCATACCACAATGTTTGAGCGTAATGGAATTATCTTTTACCACATAGCATTGACCTTGCGCACGCGCTGATTCAACATGGCGTCGCCTCGTGACGTCACAATTCACGATAAATATGTCTGTCACGAATTAATTTCGAATCTCGTGAAAATTTCATACATTATTCTGTTTGCTTA